TTGGTGGCAGAGAGAAGAGTAAGAAGAGTTATGTTTGTAAAGAGTATGAAGAACAGATAGTTCATTTAAGAGAATTTTAATATGAAAGGTTTTTAAAGTAGAGGAATGAAAACTATGAGCAAAGTTAGAGACTTTTTGATTGTTATTAATATAAAGCCAAGTGGCTTTCTAGTTAATATTAGATGCTATGATAGATCATTGTTAAAAATAATATTAGTATGTCCAAAGTGTTATAATATGAGCTTAACAGATAGTACAGATAAAGTATCAAATAGGAATCTTAATAAAAAATTAATCAATAAATAGAATATATGCAAAGTTATAAAGGTTGTTACTTAAAAATGTTAAGAAGGATAGTATTTGATGACTATAAGCAAGCTGACTAGCAAGATTATTAAATAGGTTATCTTGGTGTGCAGTAACTTTGTGAAAAGTAAGCTGAATATTATATAAGTTAATAAAGTTGATAAAAGTTTGCCAAATAGAGAAGTATAAAGCATGAGTATAAGAAAGTTTAGAAGCTTATAAGCAGATACTGTAATATTTAAAGGTTACAGATTATGAGTCAGTAAAGATATGAACAGAACAGTTTCTAGGAATAATAATAATTGTTAAAAAAATAGCAAGAATTTTAGCTTTAAAAAAGCATAACCAAAGTTTAACTTGTATTTAAAATGAATAAGTAGTTGTAGAGTTATTAACTTGAACCCAAACTATACCCATAGAGTATTGAAAAGCACCAAGCTTAATAACAGAACTAGGGTTTTGCAAATGCCCATGCCAGGCAAATTGGCACTATGCTAGGCATTAATACCTCATGCCATGCCTATGCTTATAGGCATAAAATACCAAGCACACGTATAAACATAAGTATTAAAGTGCCAGCATAAGTGTTCCAAAACAAGACATTTTATGCCACATGCCTAAATAATAATTGGTATTTTTATGCTATATAATGCTCCAAAAAATAAGCAATATTTTATGCTAAGCATATAATGTCTAAATTAAAAAAAAATACTAACCATTTTATGCTAGTACCTAAAAAATACTAGCACTTTATGTCAGTATCTAAAAGATGCTAATACATAATGCTATATGCTGGCATGTTATGCCATATGCTAGCATGTTATGCCATATGCTAGCATATTATACTATATGCTGGCATATTATATCAGATGCTAACACATTATGCCAGATGCTGACATGTTATGCCAGATGCTAGCACATCATGCCAGATGCTGGCACATCATGCCAGATGCTGGCACATTATGCCAAATGCTGGCACATCATGCCAGTATTTAAAAAGTGCTGCCACTTTGTAATAGAATAAAGATAAACCTAATGTAAGCTTCTTATACTAACTAGTCTTACATAATTTGGTAATAACAAAGTTAAATTTAATATTTGTCACTCAATCACTAGGAGTATAGGTCATAATTAGAGTTGTTAGACAAAATTATTTTGTAAATAATGAAAGATAAAACCTAAACCTGACAAAAAATAAAAGACAAAACTCTCTGGTGAAATAGCAAAAGCCTGATAAAATAGCAAAACTCTGGCAAAATGGCAAAACTCTAGCAAAATAACAAAATTTTAACAAAATAGCAAAATCTTGACAAAATGACATAACCTTTGCAAAATAGTGAACCTCCTAATGAAAGGTAAAATCTGACAAAAAGCAAAACTATGAACAAAAATCAGAACTTTTAGTAAAAATTATTATATGAAAGAGTTTCAATTTTTTTATTATTTTTACAAGTTTTTTGATTTTACTATTTTTGCTATCTTTTACAAAATTCATTGACTTTTGCCAAATTCATCAACTTCTATCAATTTTGTCACCTTTCATTAATTTCACCATTTTACTAATTTAATTTTTTTTGATGAAAGTCAAAACTAGTTTGGCATTCGCAATAGCAAAACCTCCTGAATTTCACCTAACAACCACAGATTAAATGAATAAATAAAGTGTGAATAATAAGTAAATAACAAAAAAAAAATCTGCCATTATTCTATCCTATATTCACCAAATAATGGCAGCATAACAGCAGCATAACAGCAGAATAATAGTAAAATAACAAGAGGTTTGTCAATATAAGTAACATAATAGTAACATAATAGTAAAATAATAGAACAGTTCTATTATTTTGCTATTATGTTACTATTATGTTACTTATATTGACAAACCTCCTGTTATTTTACTATTATTCTGCTGTTATGCTGCCATTATTTGGCAGATATAGGGTAAAATAATGGCAGATTTTTTTTTCTGTTATTTACCTATTATTCACTCTTTATTTATTCATTCGATCTGTGAACTCAAATATAATATTAGGTACATACTATGTAATTGTATATAAAAATTTAAAGTTGAACAACTGAACAAGTAAAAATAGAAAAGTTAATAATTATATAAAAGAGTTTTAACTTTTTTTTATTATTTTTACAGTTTTCTAATTTTACTATTTTCATCAATTTTATCGACTTTCATTAATTTCACTGACTTTTGCCAATTTTGCTGACTTTTGCCAATTTCATCACCTTTTGCCAATTTAATTTTTTTTAGTGAAAGTCAAAATCAGTTTTGCCTTTCATGATTGTGAAACCCCTTGAATTTTACCTAACAACTCTAGTTGTGCTCTCATGACAAATGAATGCTCTGTGACTTTGTTCAAGGCATCTTATATTTCATAATTTGATAATTTACTATAATGTTGACATATGCTATAACATTTAACTCATGCTATAATTTCAGACGTGTCATAATTAGAGTTGAAAATTACATTTTACAATATTACATTTCATATAATTTTGCATAAATTTCAGTAACATGGATTACATGTAAATTTCATTTCATGTGATATAAAGTACCAGCATTATGAAAGCTTAGTCAGCATTATCGAATTATGCAAATATTAACTACTGCTACTCTATGATTACATATTTTATACATCTATATTATAATTTGCACAAACTTCGGATAAAGCTTGCCGATATATTCATGTGATTGAGCTGGATTTAGCTGATTATGTGAATTACAAATTACATAAAAACTATGTTACTGTAAACTTATGCAAAATTACACAAAATTATATAAAATTATGGTAATTTTACAACTCTAGTCATAATATTCAAAAATATTCTTTTTGAAGGTTTTTTTCTGATCTTAAATTGTTGTTCTAGTCAGGGACAATGAATACTTTCATAAAATAATAAATTATTGCCAATTAAATCTTGTTATTTATCATATAATAATTTTTGAATAAATAAAATAATTGATAAAAATTTCCAATTTGATAATAGAAGCATTCCCTATTCCTAGCCCCTGTATAGTTTTTGTTCTCCAGTATAACTCAAACCAGCTATCTTGCGATTGGAACTCATCTTAGCAGTAATCTAAATTATTAAATTAATTTGTAAAGACTAATTAATTAATAAGTATTATACATATATTACTTACATCCAGCAAAGTTTTAGAAGTGTATTGACTTTATTGTGTTTGTAAAGTAGAAATTTTTTACTGGAGATTCAGGTGCAGGATGATAGTTAAACCCTGATTAATATTTAATGATTTTAACGAATTAATTAATGCAGGGTGACAGTTAAACTCTACTTAATATTTAATAATTTAAACAAATTAATTAATAAATTAATATTTTTTCATTGTTTGATAATTATGCTCTTTTTAAAACAATAACATCGGCACAGTATAATCATTATAATTTAAAAGTAATTTGTGACTAACCATTTATTAACTTCTGCTCTGCATAATTCAATGTGCTAGCATCAATTAGTATAGTGTTTATAAAAGAAATTTTTAATTAAAATATGCTATTACAAATTGTACTAAATAAAGCAGAGGACAATCTCTTAATATTATTAACTGTTTTTTAACAAATTAAACAGTTAAAATTAATTGTTATTTTATAACTTATAAGTGATTCACGATCTGTTTCATAAATTGTCACGTTGCAAAAACAGTTATAATGTACATACTTATTTCATATTTATCATAAATTTTGAAATTATTATTTTTTATTAGAGGTTCTTTTTAGATTTTATCTCTTATTTTATATGTATTCTGATCTCTAGCTCTGTACATATTTATAATTATCTTTTTTGCTTTATGAGACAGACCATAAGACATTCTACTAGTAATAACTCAACAATGAATAATTACTCATATTTCATACTTAAACTGTTAATAATTTTGAGGTTAAATTTTATGATGTATACAATAATTATCAGTTTAGTGTGACAATTCATTGCATGAAGGTCATAGATCACTTGCGAGTTATGGGTGATCAATAAGACACTCTATAACAATAGCCAGACAATGAATAGGAATGATCGTATTTATGCTTAAAAGCACTCTTAAAAATATGACAGACTTATTTTGTAAATTCTAGTTTATTTTAACATATTATTAATATTAAATAATAAAATTTGAAGTAATCTTTAATGATAATAAAAAGAAAGTAAATTAACAATCGTCTTATTTCTGATATTTGAATAAATTAAATCGATTGAATAATGCAAGTACTCTTTGAGTTTATGATTCACAGAGTTTACTAGAGTCCAATCAGTAATTAAGGTTCGGGCACATACTATTAAAAATGGTGCCTGTGCCCATGCCTGGCACTATGTTTTAATAGTGCCCATGCCTGGCATCTGCAGACCCTACCTGTAATGTTCCTGAATAAATAATATGTTAAATATTAAAATTAATAAAAAAAGTTCAGTAAACGATTGTGTTAAATTAGTATTCATTAGATAAATGTTAGAGCTAGATATAACTAAGCTAAATGTCAAATTAAGGATTTAAAAAAATTATATAAATAACTGTAAATACACTAGTAAAAAGAAAGAAAATTGTATAAGTTTTTTTTTTACCTTCTCACTTATATATTTTCTCTGTCTTAACTTACATCACCTATATTTTTACTTTACAGTGCTTTTTTTATATTCTTCCTTTATATTATTTTTTATTATATCTTGTTATGGAAAATTTTTCAGTAATTCCTAATGGTTCCACTTCTAGTACCTCAATACCTAATAATAATGAAGCAGTAGTAACTTCTGGTACCTCAATGCCTAATAATAATGAAGCAGTAGTAACTTCCAGTACCTTAACATCTAATAATAATGAAGCAGTAGTAACTTCCAGTACCTTAACACCTAATAATAATGAAGTAGTAGTAATTGGTAATATGTATAATACTAGAAAGAATTGGATAGAGATAACAGGTGATGATAATAAAAAATATTGGAAATGCATACATTGTCATGAAAAGACTTATGCAATAAAAACTAGTAGAACACATTTAAAAAACCATACCATGATATGTCCTAATTCTCCATTAGGTGAAACTCCAAATGAAGGGTTCAAACCAGTTACTAAAGAAGACGTGGATAATTCAATAGTAGACTTGGTTGTTGTAACAGGAATGCCCTTCAATATACTCATTAATCTATTTTTTCTTAAAATGACTAAAAATCTTTGCTATGCTACATATTTATATAAAATCCCACATCCAACTACAATATCACAACACCTTACAGGCAATATATTTGATTTGAGATTAAATTTTGTTATGAATATATTGGCCAAAACTTCTGGACAAATTTTACTTACCTGTGATGGATAGCACTCAACTATTCATAAGTGCCATTATATTGTCATTATGGGATCCTGGGTTAGTGATAATTGGAGGATAGTTAATATTGTTTTAAGTTTTTAAAAATCAGGACAAACAGTGAAAGAAATAACATCAGTAATAATGAGCACATTAAAAAATTACTCTATTGAAAATAAAATATTGGCACTTACTATGAATAACACTGCTACTAATAAAGCAGTAAGTCGCTTGCTCCAAAATGAGTTATCTGATAAAGAATTAATATCAATAGGTTATTATAATATTAAAATATTTTTTTTATTAATGTTTTTTTATTAAATTTTTTTTTTATTATGTTTTTTTTTAATGTTTTTTTTTTAATTTTTTTTATCTGTTTAATTTTTTTTTTTTTTTTTTTTTAGGATGCATGTGTCACATCCTCAACCTTATCATTAAAGAGGGTTTGAAAGAAATCAGTATATTACATAAAAAGGTTCATAAAATCATAAAATTCTTGGCTAATCCTCTAGCCAGTAATAGGTTAGAAGTATTAGAATCACATCGTAGAATTTCCAGAATAAGATTTTTAAAGCCTATTCTTAAAATTGATACACGTTGGAATTCTATACTAGCAATATTTGAGAGATACCTTTATTTGCATCCGGCAATTCAAGAGATGAGCTCTAAAGAACCATCAATGCCCACTTGCTTAGATGATGAAAGCTTGACAGTTCTCAAGTCCTTTCGTCAGCTCCTTAAACTGTTTAAAATTGCCACATCAGTTCTTTCGAAAGACCAATCAAATTCAATTTCTGACATATTAACAGTTATATTGGAAATTGAACAGCACTTAACTAAATTTAGGGATAATAATATTAATAATAATTTAATGACCAAAAAATTTAAAAAATATTGAAAATCTATTCTTGAACATGTTATAATTGCTCACATTCTCGATCCACGATATAAGTTGGATCGCTTGAAAGCAATACTAATTGAAGTTAGTAGTTATAATAATCGTGATGCAGAAATGGTTGTCAATGATATTCGCAAAAAACTTATTACATATGGAGCAAAATATTCCAGCGCAAGTTTTTCAAATTATGTTGAAATTGATAATAATAATAACAATGATAATCTTACATCTGTATTCCCTAAAAAAAGAACTGCAAAAAGGCGAAAACAAATAGATACAATAGAATTTGAGTTAGAACTGTATGAAAGTAAACTTCCTGAAAACTCAGATGATAGTAATGAAATAGAAAAAAAAAATAGAATAAAACTCTAGAAATCATTGTCATCAAGATTTCTAATACTTAGCAAAATGGCTCATGACTTTCTAAGTATTAAACTCTTATCTGTTTCTAGTGAAAGAATATTCTCAAAAGCTGGTTTCACAATCACTAGTGATAGGGCTAATATTTGCGAAAAAACTGTTTCATGCACAATACTCATGCACTCTTGGTTTATAGAAAGCCAAAATGAGCTTAGTCCTTTTAACTCTATTCCATAATTTTTTTATTATGCAGCATATAAGTTAATTGTACTACAGGTCGACCTAAGAAGATCATCGTCACATGATAGTAACATTTTTGGTGGTAAAAATTTTTATCCTATGATAGTACCATTTTTAATAGTAAGATGGAAATCATTTGCATATATATAATAGTGTTGTATATTTTTAGTCTTTTTTTACTTTTTCATGTCAAGAATGTTAAAGAAAGTTGTTCTAAGTATATAGCCAAATTTTAATTATCATCATTATATAAATTAGATAAAATTTTGTACTTAGACTATACAAACTTAATAAATTGGTTTTTATAATCGGCTGGGTCATTTTACTATCTGTGTGAGTTTTTTAAAAAAATTTATATGTATTTTATATATATAATTTTTTGAAAAGTTGGATTGCTGGGTCACTTTTAAAATTTTTTATGTTATGAAAACCAATTTATTAAGTTTGTATAACCTTAATATATTGAGTCAAATTAATTAGAAGTGATGCAAATAATGCCAGTAAATAATATACAAATTATTTACTTTAAATTTTTAACTTAAAGCGAAATAAATAAAACCATAGCAACATTATAAGGTGGTAATTAACCTCTTGCATATGTGTAATTTAACAAGATTTTACAGAAATTAAACCATGATAATTTCAATAATAACGATACTTTTAACACAGTAATGGTAGGAAGAAGACAATCTAAGAACAATAACAAGTTATCCCTATTGAAATAATTAAGATTGTTTATAAAGATAGTTATTTAGTCTAAAAGCTCA